TTGTCAGGTCGGATGTCTACAGTTCTAGTCTTTATTGTTAATCATTTCTGTTAATTATTAGGTGTAAAGTGTGTCGGGAAGGAACTTAGGATCAGCCATGAGGGATGGGTAAGCTTTTATTTCTCAGGCTCTTCTTCACTGATCTTCCCTCCTCCTCTCTCTCCCCCCCTCTCTCTCCTATTCTCTCTAGAATAATCTTCTCAGAGGCTCCAATATTCCACTCAGAGTCCAGTGTGGTGGAATAGGTGAGCTTTATTTAGAGTGCTGTCATGACAGTTTGCTTTGTTTAGACAACTATGAATTTCAATTTGGCTGGTCCATTTTGTTTGGACGTTTTTCTTTGAAGGCTCACGGAGTCTACCTCCTTGCACAGACGACTAATGGTTGGTACTTGTTGTATTGTAACAAGAACAATGCATTATGCATGTACAGTATCATAATAATGGCATACATACATTGGAGGAAATGTAGTATCAAATTAGAGTTATGTTTACTGGATATATATACATGTATATATACATGTACATGTATGCATTATATATTAATTGTTATGATGCATTCCTATTCTAATTGCATGATGAAAGTATCATGTTTATTTATAGAGAGATATTATGATCATGAGTGGCAATTGGAGAAGAAACTTGAGCTAAAGAGACAGCTCGTACGGAGGTTTGAGCAACTGGAAGGGAAAGCAAGTAAGAACTAAGGAAAGAGAGAGAGAGAGGAGGGGAGGGGGAGAAATGGAAACAATTTAACTTCCACTTGCTACCTACATGTACATGTACTAAACGTAGATATGCATACATACATGTAGAATGACAATATTTTGTAGGATCAACAGAGACCCAGGAGATTGGCATCATAGCCAGGATTCTTGTTAAACTGTTAATAAAACTGATCAGAAACATTGAGGTAGATATGTCTACAGGTATATCCATTATTATCACTGCTAGATATCATTACATGATGTACATGTCAGAATCGATGATGAGGTAAGGCATATCAGTAATAATAATGACCGTCCAGACATGATTCACACTTACAATGTACATGTTATGACTGGCCATTATATCATACCATTGTACATACTATGATATCATCCAAATACACTTGTACATTAAATATAATTAATTTATAGCTTTCTCTGATCAATGGGGCATGCTCTGCAGGATTTGCTCTTCA